GGGTCAGAAGCTCAAAACTACCTCTGTGGGATAAAGATGAGGTTTTTCTGCTCCCGTAAAGGTTTACAGCTTCGGAAACCCTATGCAGGGTCACTAGGAGTCAGAATCGACTCCCTGGCACACAGCCACCACCAGGGAGATAAATTCCCCAGTTAGAGGGTTGTAGTTGTTGTTAAGTGCCCTTGAGTGAGTGCCCACGCATAGGATTTTGGAGGCTGTAAATCTTTGGGGGAGCAGAAAGCCTCATCATTCCCTTGCAGGGTGGCTGGTGTGCTCGAACTGCAGACCTTATGATTTGCAGACCAGTGCTTATCCTACAGAGCCACTGGATTCCCAGTTAGAGGGTCGATATGTGTTAATGTGTATGATCGAGGAGACAATACATACCAACACTAGTAAGGTATACTTACTTGGATGGCCAGCTATTCAAGATCCAAAGGGCAGCATTCATCTCAGGACAACTTTCGGAGGGCAGGGTGGTAGAATGGAAACAGGCTCAGAGGGAGGAAGTGGGATTTCAGTGATATTACATGGAGGGGATTGCAATGTACTAAAATGAACCAAAGTGTGTGATTTGTCGAATATAAAAATAATGATATGTTCTATAAATGCTTTACTCAATTTACAGTAAACAGTAAAAATATAAAACAAAACAAAAAGATAACAGGCAACAGTAAAACCCTGTGGAGTGCAGGTGTAATTCACAACACCTGGGGTTGTTTCAGTCCACACTGGCTCTTTGGCAATGACTGTGCAACGTTAGTTGCTAGTTGATGTCAGTTGATGAGTATATAGAAATTGTACTATTTTCATAAGTCCTCTGTAAGTCTAATATGCATTCAAAATAATCAGTTAAAAAATTTTCAGTTGTGTTATAGGCTGCCAATTGTCTAATCAGTATCTTTTCATCCTTCTTCCTTGTTAGCAGAATGCTGAGCAATACTGTGGCTTCCTGGCAGATAGAAATGGCCATCAGGAGAAGAAGGCAGTTTGTGGAGTGGAGCTCTGCCTTTCTCTTTCCAGTTGCCTGGGAACCAGAAGAGTGACTGGAGCCATCCTTGTTTCCAGATGAAGGGACAAATGACTTCAAAAACTTTATAACTGGCATCATTGGAGTCTAACGTGAACAGCGGTATCTGTCTATCTGTCTGTCTCTGTATGATTCAGTCACTGCGGTCTAGTCTCTATATCCAGAGAGCACAATTTCTAACTGATAGAGCGGGGGTGCAGTGGGGGTGGTGGTGCTTCTGTTCCTTCTCAGGTCCAGAACTGAAACAACAACAACAAAATACATACAAGTCAAGCTCCCTTTAATATGATTCCAAATCCAAAAATATCCTGTGAATGTCTGTTATTGTACTATCCAAGTAAAGACTTCTTGGTCTTCCAAAAAGTAGATTGTGAACTACCTGAAAACATTTTTGAGGGTTATTTAACAATTTTACTTATCAATTAAAGTGGGCAAGGCAATCTAATTTTGCAGTCTCAACAACAGGCCAGGCCAATCCTGGAATAACCGTAACAACAAAGATGAATTACCCTGTACAGGATAGTTATGAGTCAGATCCAACTCCACGGCACATAACCACCACTGCCACCACCACCAATAATACAAATGAAAGTTGCAAACATTGGCAATTTGTTTTTCAGTACCCTGACTTGAGGCTCGCTGTGTTGTTATATGATATTGTCAGGGCATTCTTTTGTGGGTGGAGTGGGTAGGGTTAAGGAGTGAGGGTTAGGGTTAGGGTTATGGCCTAGGACTTTGTTGGGTGTTATGGTTATAGTCAGGAGCAGGGTTAGTGTTAGGGTTAAGTGTTGGCTTAGGGTTAGGAGTATGGCGTGGACTGGTTTTTAGGGGTGGTGGTGGTGGTAAGCCTGGTAGCATTTCCAACTCATAGCAGCCCTGATCAGGGTTCTGAGGCTGTAAATCTTTACAAAGCCCAGTCGTTCTCCTGTGCTTCACCAGATGGACTCAAACTGCCGAACTATGGTTAGAAACTCAACGTGTTACCCACTTTTTAAATGATTTTTTCTTGAAATCTATTGATTTCTTCTTGGTTTGGAAATTGTGTAACTAACTACATTATTCCTTCCTTCTACTTTATGCGTTTTTGTTGTTGTTGCAACTGTATCTCTGGTTCTTTATTTCCAGTCATGGAAGCAACAGTCAAGAAGTCAAATGACATATTGCACTAAGCAACTCTGCTGCAAAAGAACTCGTTAAAGTGTTCAAGAGCAAAGATTGATGCTTAGTTTGAGGACTAAGGTGTACCTGGCGTTTCCTATCACCTCATATGCATGTGAAATTTGCACAATGAATAAAGAACACTGTAGAAAAATCGATGCATCAGAATTATGGTGTTGGAGAAGAATCTTAAAAGTATCATACACTGCCAGAAAAAACAAACAAATCTGTTTTGGAAGAAGTACAGCCAGAATGCTCCTTGGAAGCCAGGATGAGGAGGAAGATTTTGTATCATATACTTTAGACAGGTTATCAGGAGGGACTGTTCCTGAAGGACATCACACTTGATAAAGTGGGGAGTCAGTGAAAAGAAAAAGATTCATGATGAAGTGGAACGACACAGTGGCAGCAGCAATGCGCTCAAACACAGCAACAGTTGTGAGGATGGTGTAGGACTGGGCACTGTTCCCTTCTGCTGTGCACAGACAGGGTTGCTGCGAGTTGGAACTGATTGAATGGCACCACCAACAAGGTTTGCTTTACTTTACTCACTTCTATGTCTACATTGAGTTCTGAGTGATACTGCATCGTAGTCTCAGATTGTTGTCTGCTATTGTTGGGTCTCCGTCCCAAGAACTCCCTTTAGTATTTTTTATAAGGTTGGTCTGTTTTTTACAAATTCTTTTAATTTATATTTATCTGAAATGACCTTGTTTTGCCATCATAATGCTGGACGTTTTTGCTGGATATGTGATTTCTTCATTTCAGAGCTTTATATGTGTTATTCTATTGTCTTCTTATCTGTGAAATTTCTGCTGAGAAATCAAAGTTCAGTCTTATTAGTTCTACTTTGTTGGTAACTTTTCATTTCTCCTGAGCTGCTCTTAGAATTATTTCTTTGTCTTTGGTTTTGAAAAGTTTGATTATAATATGTCATGGTGTTTTTCTTTTGGGGTCTAGGTTGTTTAGAGTTCATTTAACTTCTTGAATGACTATCTTTTTTTTTTTTTTTTTTTCCATACAAACAAGATAAGGGTTTATTGGTGGGTTTACTCTCACTTATAAGACAAGGGTCTGCTGGAATTCTCCACCCCAGGTGACAAGACAAGTCTGCTTGTTTTAAGCACTCTGTGTTTTTGTGTAAAACCCTGTTGTCCTGCTCACTTTGGGGTCAGAGTGATTTGGGACTGAGCTGTCACTCTGACCACCGGCAATAAACTTTTCTCTTTAAGATTTTTGGGTTGAGTTCTTTCTGACTCTCACTGCCGCAACACCACCAGGACTCCTCTCTCAGTGGTAAGGAACCTTTTCCCACCAAAATGTGCATCATTCAAGGGCCATACAACTCAAAAATTAGCCTGCTATAATTGGTCAAATACTTAATTAACTCGGTCCTAATTGATGGCTGAAGCTACAGTTGCCTTGGCAGGGCCAGATTTCATGTTCTGATTATTAATGTTTCTTTTGCAGCTCTTTCTCCTTAATTTGAGTTGTGCACCATCAACAAATGAAGGTCCTGAAACCTTTACTGCATGCAGGTCAGTACGGTCAATTCTACGGACATTGCCATCTTAAAGATGACACGGCTTCATGTTCCCATTTCAGCTAAACAGCAACAATTTTTAGACTCTTTACAAACTAATGTTTTAAGTTGCCAATATTTTAAATGAATCATCTAGTTAATAAAAAAATATATATGCTATTATATGTGTTTCAATATAATTGATTCCTTTGAAATCCCATATATTTTGTTATTAATTTAAGTGTCCTCTAGTAGGTTTGACTCATAACACCCTCCATAGGACTTCCAGGCTTTTGAAATCTTTGCAGGAGCAGAAAGCCTCGTCGGTTGCATGTGGAGGGACTGGTGGGCTCGAACCACCGGTCCTGAGGTTTGCAGGACAGTGCTTATCCTACAGAGCGCCACTCATATATTTTAGGTATCTTACTATGTTTTTTGAAAAGGAGTCTATGTAGGATAAGCACTGGACTGCTAACTGCAAGCTATTGCAGGGTTAGAGGTTCAAACCCACCAGCTGCTTCGGAAACGCTATACAAGGTCACCATGAGTCACAACAGACAAAACGACATTAACAACAATTCTCTCTCTCTCTTTTTTTTTTAAAGGAATCTGTATACAAAAAAAATAATCAAAACAGAAATGTGTGCGAAGAGAAGCCTGCACATGCAGCCCCCGTCCAAACGTCTGCTCCTTCTCTCACTGATTTTTAGAATGGAGACTCTCCCGGCTTCATTTCCTCAAGGAAGGCTTGAATCTGAAATTAGACTCGGCCTTCTCTGCTCTTGGGACATCGTGTGCACACTTCCGCTGGTATGCTGAAGACGGTCTATTCCAGTGATCACTTTGCTTCCCATTCTCGGGTCCAAAAGCGTTTGTTAACTCGGAATCTGTTGGTGATTTGCGCTGACCTTCCCTGGCTTTAGAAAGTTATTTGTTAATAAAAGGTAATGTCTGAAAAAAATAAGAATATTGAATCGTAAAATTAAAGTGTGACGTTAAACAGTAACACAAACTGTGTTAATGTCATTTTAAAAATTGATATCTTTTTCCACTCTGTATTTAAAAAATTATTTTTCTAACTCTGGATATAACCTGTGAGTCTAAAAGCAAAGAACACACTGTAGTACACTTTTCCTCCAGGGAGGGCGCCCAATCCAAGGCGCCAAGAAATAGCGGATCTTGTATTACTGGTTTTCAATCCGGTCCGAAAGTTGCTTATAAAAGAAAGGAAGAGCACGGTTTTCTTTAGATCTGCCATCTTTCAGTAGTTGATTAGTTACGTCTGGTTGCATGAACGGAGGTAAAGGCTTAGGAAAAGGTGGCGCTAAGCGACATAGGAAGGTTTTAAGGGATAACATCCAGGGGATCAGGAAGCCAGCTAGCCCTAGTTTAGCACACCGCATCTCTGGTCTCATTTATGAGGAGACGCTTGGTGTTCTAAAAGCGTTCTTTTTTTATGTTTTAATGTGAATTATGTGATAGTTTACATGGGAAAACATTAGTTTTACATTGATCCTATCATATATCCTTTCATTGCCATGGTTACAATCCCCTCCATGCATCATCAACCAACCAAAGGGTATACACTACAAGCCTGACCCCCTCCCCCTCTCTTCCCCCAGTCCTCAGCACACAGCCCTTCTCCTTTTCTGGGTCTAAAGTCCCCAGCTGCTCCATCTCTCCACATCATCTTCTCTGCCTCCATCTCAGGGGTCACTGCTTCTCTGGGTAGGGTCTCACTCTCCACTCTTCTCCCTTGATGGTCCCAGGGACCTCCTCTCCTAGACTGCAAAGTCAATCACTGCCCTCGTTTTGCTACAAAACCTCAACCTTTACATTTAATGAAGATCTTCTTGTCTTGATGTTAGGAATGTTTCCTTCCAAGAACTCTTGGACAATATTCTGTATATTTTTTTGTTTGTTTTGTCTCATTTTGTTCTGGAATTCCAATCACACATACGTTTTGACTCTTGATAGGGTCCCACATAAATCTTAGGCTCTTCTCGGATTTTTTTTTTTTTTTTAAAGCTTTTAAAAAACTGAGTGATACTTTACATGGAAGAACATGGGTTTTGCTCTAAACCAATAATATTTTATTCTATTGCAATGATTTCAATCCCCTCCACCATTGGTTAACAGTATTTGCCTCTATACCTTTTTCACTTTTTATTTTGATGGGCACAAAAACACTCAGGCATATATAATCATTTAAACAACCCAAGGGCACATTCAGCCAGTCAGCCTCCTGGCTTTCTCTTTCCATGAGTCTAGAGTCCTCAGTGTCGCTGCTTCTCTGGATAAGGTCCCACATTCTGCTCTTGTTCTTCACCTTTGGTGGTCCTAGGGTCCTCTCTTGCTGGACTATAAGATTAACTCCTCTCCTCTTTTTTTACACAACTTCTACCTTTACTGTTGTGACAAATGCAATTAGTCATGATATAATTACTCACTATGTTGTTGTTGTTGTTAAGTGCCATCGAGTCGGTTCCGACCCATAGTGACCCAGTACAGGGTTTCCAAGGGGGTGATAGAATCAAAATAATCTTATTCCCATCTCCTTTCACGAGACCCAACTGAAGATGAAAAGTATTCAGTGGGGTTTCTACTTCATCAGATTGTTCTCTTCTTTTTTTCTGATTGTTCTACAAGCAGATGATTATTGAGAGATTTTTCTTCAAGCTCAGTCATTCACCCTTCCACTGATTCAATTCTACTTCTTTGCTCTTTCAGCATAATATCTATTTCTGAACCTCAGTGTTAATTTGGCTTTCTAATCACTGTTTCTGTATGTTTTCTGTTTTTAATTTATTTTGTTAGTTTGTTCCCTGAATTCTTCTATAGTTTTGTCAACGCTTTCCTTGATTTCATCTGCAGTTTTCTAAATCTTTTTCTCAATCCTTTGAAGGTGCTGAAATAGCATTCTTTTGTTTAAAAGTAAGTAGTTCTGATACCATTTCTGGTAATACATTTTTGACTCTGTATTTTAGTCACTTGTTTGAGGTACTCCGTCCTGTATCTTTGTTTGAGCTGAAATTGTCTGGGTTTTTTTTTTTTTTTTTTGTGTGTGTGTGTGTGTGTTTGTTTTGCTTTATTTTTTGAAAGACATTATGGTATTGTGTTTATATTTAATTGGTAAATTATAGATGGGTGTGTTCTCAGGCCCTTACCACCTGTTTGCTGGTGGATATGACAGAGACTGGAAGTGTGAATGCAGTTTTCTGGTCATTGTGTAGCATAGTCCAGGGCGGGTTTACGCAGCCCCAGAATCAGGGCTGCTATGGCTGGTGCCTGAGCTCTGGCAGAGTAGAGGCTGTTTCGGAAGGGTGCCACTGGCTACTGGCCTGGCAAGGGAGGGGACTGGCCAGGCATCTGCCTATCTGCTATTTGTCTCCCGGAAGTCCTGTCACTATGAGTTTTGGTTCATTTTTTAGCATTAAAACCTTGTCAACCATTTGAAATGAATTTTTATGGCCTAAGGACTGAGATTGGAGTACTGATGTGGCACTGTAGGATGAAGCACTTGATCGTAAGGTTGGTTTGAACCACAAGGTCAGCAGTTGAAACTCACCAGCTGCTCCTTGGAAACCCTATCTATACAGGGTCACTATGAGTCAGTCCTGACACAATGGTACTTAGCAACAACAACAAAAAGGATTGAGATAGAAATCCAATTTAATTTAGTCCCCAAATCTCTATTCAGTTGACCAATACCATTTATTTATAAGAACATTAATTTCGCCCATTGGTGTTCTGTGTCATTTTAATAATATTCTAGATTCTCATGAGAATATTGGCTTATTTCTGGACTTTCCATCTTGTTTCACTGATGTACCAATTTTAACTGTAGCATATATTAATAGCTAGTGGACCAACAAGAATCTCCTCCTAACTTTTACTTTTCATTTTTTTTTCTGGCTATTCCTATATAGTCATATAAACTCATTATGTTTTTATTGGTATTAATATTGAAATTTATTACATTTGTGTTTAATTTAGGAACAATTTTGAGTCTTCTTGTCTATCATTCATTTAAGTGTTTCATTCGGAAATATTGTAAGACTTTGTTCAGTCGGGCTTTATACGTTTCTTAATTTTATTACCATATATTCAGTCTTTTCTGGTGCTATTTTCAAAGAGTTCTTTTCTTCTGTTATATTTCCTAACATGTATATAAAATTCCTTTGGCATCAAAGCAGTCTGAGTCACGGTAACCACGTGTGTGTCAGAGTAGAACTGGGCTCTATAAGGTTGTCAATGGCTGATATTTTGGAGGTAGATTGTTAGACCTGTCTTTTCTGACCTCCAAACCTTTAGGTTAGCAGCCAGGAATCCTAGTATACAGGGAAACTAACACTTTTATATATTACTTTTGTAATCAAATACATAATAAATTTTCACATTGTTGGTAATAACATTTTAGTTATTTAAAAAGGTGTCTCAGAAATGCGGTCAGATTGTCTACCTATGATGATATTTTTGTTCCATTCTTTATAATTTGTATGATGTGATCTCTCTCTAATTCCTGATTGCATCAAATCTTAGCAGCAAATGTTGTTAGTCTTGCCTCACCCCCACCCAGTCCACTCTCTCATGGTCTACATTTATATCCATTCACACCCACCCATCCATCCATTCACCCACTCACCCATCCATCTACCTACCCGTCCACCCACCCATCCAGCCATCCATCCATCCATCCTTCCATCCATCCATCCACACACCTATCTACCCATCCATTCATCCATGTATCCACCCACTCACTCACCCACCCATCGATCCACCTATCCATACAACCACTCATCCATCCCTCTACCCACCTATCCACCAACACACCTATCCATTCAACCATCTATCTACCCACTCACCCATCCATCCATCCATCCATCCATCCATCCATCCATCCACTCACTCACCCACCCACCCATTCATCCATCTCCCCACCCATCCATCTACCCATCTACCCATCCATCCATCCATCCACTCACTCAACCACCCATCTATCCATCTACCCAGCTATCCACCCACACACCCATCCATCACCCACCCATCCATCCACCCACTCACCCACCCATCCATCCATCTCCCCACCCATCTACCCGTCCACCCATCCATCCACCCATCCATCCATCCATCCATCCATCCATCCATCCATCCATCATCCACACACCTATCCACCCATCCATCCATCTACCCACCCACCCATCCCTCTACCCACCACCCTCCCACCCATCCATCCATTCTTCCATCCACCCATCCATCCATCCATCCATCCATCCATCTATCCATCCATATATATATCCATCCATTCATCTACCCGCCCATCCTTCCATCGATCTTGTTTACCAATCTACCATCTACCTGTATGCCTAGAAGTCCATCTGTCTGTTGTTTTTTTATCTGCAAAGCAAGCTAGAGTTGATTTATTTGTTAACCTGATTGGTTATTTAGTGGAATTAACTAAATAAATTGTTTTAGTTATAGTTGTTACTGTTAAGTACCGTCGAGTCAATTTTGACTCAGTGACCCTGTACAGAGACAGGATCTTAACACATTGGCTTAATTAAAAATAGAATAAAATAAAAATGGGCAGGGTCTTTGTATTTCATTCTAGTTTTGAGATGTGATTGACAGTTATTGTTGCTAAATGGCATCGAGTCAGTTCCGACTCCTAATGACCCTGTATAGAGTTTCCGACACTTTAAATCTTCAAGGGAGAAGAAAGCCTCATCTATCTCCCACAATAAGAATAGGTATTTGCTATTAATGAAGATGTTGTTGTTGTTGTTAAGTGCCATCCAGTCAGTTCTGACTCAGAGACCCTGTTTAGAGTTTCCGAGGAGCAGCTGGTGGGTTTGAACTGCAAACCCTGTGGTTCACAGTGCAGTGCTGACCTTACAGTGCCACACCAGGAGTCCATGAATGCACTAGTGTGTGTATATTCCATGCTCTAGTAGGCCCTAGACAACTCTCATATAATACGGTGCTCCTATGGGTGTAGAACTCTAGGATTCTTTTTCTCAAGGCCAGAAAGAAAAGAGACTTCCTTTGGTGTTGATTGGAACCATAAACTAGAGCACATGGGAGGAACCCATTGTTCCCATTACTGTCGTGGTTAAATTGGGTACAGAATTCCTTATTTCATAAGACTTTCAGCACCGATATTTCACGTGTGGACGGTGCCTCAGGCATCCCTTATATGACAGGCACTGGATAAACAACAATAACAGTGATTTTTACAGAGCAGAAGTCTGATGTTCCTTTCCGATCAATGGCATCTTGGCATTCTTTTCTATTATGTGGGAGGGTGTCTTTGTTTTATCACCACATCTTTGTAGCTTTTTATTTCTATGTACCAGCACTCCATTTGCCCCCAGAGCTCAGGATTTGTGTCTCTCTGTGTCTGTCTTTTGTCTCCTGCATATTTTTAAGCTTCTAGTCCTTTACAAATTCTGGGTTCAGATAACAGCATACATGCAATGCGTAATACATTTACGATCTGGTAAAGGAAGGTAGGCAGAGGATGAAGCTCTGTATATGATTAAACTCATTTTCTCTGTATTTTTCTCACTTGAAGTTTTTTTTTTTTTTTTTATCAGTTTCTTCTTTATCACTTTGGGAAATAATATAAAATGTGATTAGAGCCTTCCACAATCTGGGCTGTGTTCCCAGAACTGTTTTTATTTAGCGTTGCTGTACTTGGGTGATGAGATGTTTGTGTCTCAGCACTGAGCTTTTCAAGTTACACTCTATTCAGGAAAGACAGTGCATCTACTTGTTGTTCAGTACTGCCCAGGTGCTGACGGCTCATAGTGACCCTGTACAGGGCTTCTGAGGAGAGGCTGCTGAGTTTGAACTGCTGATGTTGTTGTTCAAATCGACCTTGTGGTCCAGTGTTTATCTGTTTCATGGGGGGATCGGGCCAAGAATTTTGCTATACACCTTATGTAAAGTATTTTCGATGGAAAATAGTTCAATAATTGTTGTTGTTATGTGCTGTGGAGTTGGTTCCGACTCATAGTGACCCTGTACAGGGTTTCTGAGGCTGTAAATCTTTACGGGAGCTGAAAGCCTCATCTTTCTCCCATGGAACAGCTGGTAGTTTCAGACTGCTGACCGTGAGGTTAGCAGCCCAATCCGTAACCACTACGCTACCAGAGCTTCTTAGTTCACTAATGGTGACGTATTAATCACCATGTCATAACATGCCTGTCATTTACCGTTTTATTCATGGCTCAGATTTATTGTGAATTTACGCTGCAGAGCATTGCAATATCTCCAGGACTTAGCACGACACTCTCATAGTAGCTCCTGGTTCCTTTCCCGACTTCTGCTTTCTTCTTTCTTTCTCCTGTTGTCCAAGCTTGCTCACTCTTCCTCTCTGCTGCTCTGTCTGTACCAGTACTATCCTTCTCCCTCCCTTCCTACACTCATCATGTGAACTTTGAGTGTGCTTTGAGATGGAACGATGCATAACCAATAGCGCCGGAGTTCTAAGTTAACTGAGAATCAGTAAGCTAGGAATAACGCGCTAAGCTCCATGTGGGTACTCAAGTTCATGGACTGAGAGGTGTGTGGCATGAGCAGTAACTTCTCAGGACCTCAGTCTCCCCCATTGTGCAATGATGGAGTGAGACTAGAGGATCTCCAGTGTTAACATTTCTATCAAAGGCAGGCTTCAGGGTTTGTACTGTATGACCTCTTGTGTGCCAGTTCTGTATTCTCAAGGTGGCCTGTTGGCGGTTTCCTCTTTGTTGAGCCTCATCAGTAAATGACTTCTCAGTGTCTGTTGACTTTCTCATTTGCAGCTGACTTTGGGAGTTATTAACCTTTATTTATATTCCTAGAGAAGATTTATAATTTCCCTTAGCACACCTGCTTTCACCATGTTTTAACACTTTACTGATGGACTCTCATTTCCAGAAATGTGAGTTAGTTTTCCTCTCCTTCTCAACTTCCTGCCCTGGCCAGGCCATAGGTGACAACGGTCCCTATTCTTCTTGAGTAAGTGTCATTGCTGTGTGTCTCTCTAATAGCAGCCCCCCACCCCCACCCCCATCTGTACTGGCGTGACCCAGCTCAAGGAATGTCTCTGACCCCAGGCTGATGACAAAGACTCGCTTCAGTGTGCTTGTAGCCTAAGCACTTAACACATGCTTAATAAAGCCTGACTCAATGAATGGGCTAGAATTGATGACAGTGAGATTAGCTCCCTTTCACCTTTGAGTCCACCTGGCTCTCCTGTCCGTGTGAGAACTGGATGTAGGAAGTGATGTTCCGGTGCCTGGATTCTCACCCCCAAGGAGATGGACTCTGACAATACATCTGACACTTAAGTTGCCTTCTTGAGCTTCCCTGGGCAGTAGGACTTGATTTGTAGGATTATTTCGGTAGGATGAATACATCTCCACTGTGAGCAAACTTAACTGTTTGTTTGTTTGTTTGTTTTATTTATTAACTCTTTATTGTGACTTGAGTGACAGCTTACAAAACACATCATCATTCCTATATTCAAGGAATCCTACACTTGGCATCATTACAATGACTACAATACACTCCACTACCGTCAGTTAGCACTTGATTTTCACCTTCTAGTCACTTTCTTCTGTTCTTCCCCCTCCCACCACTTGCCCTGCAAACTTCATAGAAAGTTTCATTTAACAAGAAAATATTTTCTTAACTTTTTACAACAGTGATTTCACGCAATAATTGTCCTTTTGTGATTGACTAATTTCATTCAGCATAATGTCCTCCAGGTTCATTCATGTTGTGAGGTATTTTGCAGAATTGCAAAGTTTTCGAAAAATAAACTTAAAAAAAACCCCACAAAACTATTGCAAGTGGAGGTGGATAGATTATGGGTGGTATTTCTCATCAAGTTCAGGGACCATCTGTGTTTCTAAGGACCATCTAATGTTGTATGGAATAGGTCTTAGGAATGCTAGAAGGAAAATAGCCACCAACGACAAGGACCATCTGTGAAAAAGAGGAGAAGTTTGGTTTTTAAAAAGAATAATAAAAACGCAGCGATTAAGAAAAGTGATTCAGGAAAATAACTGGTTATATAATTTCTTATTATGCTGCATTTTATAGTTTGTAAACCCTTTCATAAACAATATTTATCAAAACCTGTGAAGGACACTTTTCTATCCCAGTTCCACAGAAATGCAGGCTCTGTGAAGGAATGGATTCATTTCCATTCCTCTGTGTATTTCCAAGGGCAGTGTCTGATAGATAAATACAAGAATATCCATAGATTATTTTCTCATAATCATTCGAAGTTAGACACAACCCAAAGGCTGATCCTTAGGAAAATAAATCAATATAAAGCTATAGCGTGGTGCTGTGGGTTAATGCGCTGGACTGCAAGGTCGATGGCTCCAATTCACCAGCTGCTCCTCAGAAACCCTACAGAGGGTTGCTATGGGTTGGAACCGACTCGATGGCACGTAACAACAACAACAACATACAGCAAACAACAGCAACAACAAAAATAACAAGAATTACTGATGCATAGTGTTAGGGTCCGAGACCACCACCCAATAAGGAGACCAAGAGACAAAGATAATGCAAAAGCAGGCGGGCTTTATTCAAGCTAGCATGCTAGGGTCGAGTGGCGGCTGGCAGTGTAGTGTTCAGCAGTGTTACAGCAGTGTTACAGCATCAGCTCACCAAAGCTGGACCCCAAGCAATTCACAAACTGCACCTTATATAGGGTTTTGGGACACACCATGGGAGGGGGATATGCAAACTAGGATTACAACTTTTACCCAATGGAGCATTCAGAAACCGCAGGATCCAATAGATTTAAACATAACATCACATAAGTGACCTATAGTACTAAGACTTTTTCCAGTCCTACCGGCCTCATCTTATCTGTTACCTGTTCCGGCCACCTGGCCTGTGAGTCTTCAACTGTGACCGTTTTATGAGTGTGCTCTTTACCCTGCATTTGTGTCTCTTGAGCCATTCTGTTGGGGACTTGCCTAGCCATGCCTGGTTGTCCTTATGTCCCGGCCTGAAGCAGGTCTCAGAGCAAGCTCTTATGCCTGAAGTGGGGATTCTTGCTCTGAGCCCTACTTTCAGCCGCCCACTTTTATTCTCACAATAGGAGCATGTGTGGATCTCACAGAATCAATGAAGCAAGATAAAAAGAATACTTCTTGTATATGATTCCATCTACATGGCGTTCAAGAACTACAACGCTGATGTTGGTAACAGAAACCAAGTTAGGGCTTACCTTTATGAAGACACTCACCGACCACGAGGGGCTTGGAGGAGCCTGCTGGGGTGCTGGAAATACTCTGTACTTCATCTTGGGGCTGATTACATAGATGTAGACGTTAAAACACGTTGAGGTTGGAGTAGATACTGTGTGTGCTACCCACGTGCCCACGCCAGAAACCAGCTGCTTGGAACGCGGGCTTCAGACCGCTCTCAGCTGAATTCAGCTCTAGATCATACCCTTGGCTCTTGCTTGAGGTTCTGCACATCTTGGGGTGAGCATCCTCTACTGTCTGATCAGGGCCCTCCCAGTTCTGGAGCTCCAGGAACGAGCTAAGGTGCAAAAGTCCTTTCAGCACAGGCACGATGGACTTCCTAATTTTCAGAGCCCAGAGCAAACTGTAAATATGGGGCTTTTTCTTCATAGATTATTAAGAATTTCAAAATGGTGACAGCAGAGCATGATACATAGCAGGGGGGCATGCCATGAGGCAACTGTACCCCCAGATGTCAGTCTTGGGAGCCAGCCTGTGACTCTCCATCTGGTGTCTGCTTTCTACAGGCCACCCTGACAAGTGAAGGAGGAGCTTCAGATGTGAGCACTTCATTTGCAAAACAAGAGCAAAGTAATGCAAGGAAATGCAAGAGCTCCAGGTAGACTGAACAGTGAGCCCTCAGGGATATCCACATCAGAACCTGCAGAACCTGTTAGTTCGCTGTTTTTATGGCCAAAGGAATTTTGTAGATGAAATTAAGTTACAGACTTTAAAATGGGGAGATTATGCTGGATTCTTTGAAGAGGCCCTAAGTATCACAGGCTCCTATGACCAGGAGGCAGGAAGTGGGAGGATTTGAAGATGGAGAACAGGACCATGAGCCACAGAATGTGGGTGGCCTCTAGAAACTGAACAAATCCAAGGCAATAACTTCTCCCTCAGAATGCTGAAAGGAACACGGGCCTGCTGATTCGGGCGTGGAGTGCAAACCGCAAGGTCAGCAGTTCAAAGCTACCAGCCACTATGCAGGAGAAAGACTTACAGCAACCCTGAAATGCATGTTTCCGAGGAGTGACTAGTGGGTTCAAACTGCTGACCTTGCAGTTCAAACTGACCTTTCGGTCCAGTGCACTATCCTGCCGTGCCTCACCAGGATGTCCATACAGAATTACAGCCTTGTCAGAACCAACTTGCCCGCACACCACCACCAATGACTCATTTCACACTTTTGCTTTCCAGAACTGAAAGAAAATAAATGTGTGTTTCAATCACAGAGTTTGTGGTAATTTGTAACCGCAGCCACAGAAAGCTCATACAGAGCTGCTGTTGGATTTCTGGGACATTATTCTCTGGTTTCAGTCACTTAAAGGGGTACAGAAAGGATTTGTTGCTGTTGTTAAGTGCTGTTGAGTTGGTTCTGACCCATAGCGACCCTATACAGGGTTTCCAAGGAGCGACTGGTGAGCTTGAACCACTGACCTTGCAGTTCAAACAGCTGTGCAGTCTGGCGCATTAATCCACAGCGCCACACCAGGACTAGAGCTATATTCCCAGAAATGCCACTTGTGTGCAGGACCTTAGTCAGATCTCTGTGTGTCTCACTGAACCCTGACTAAGTGATATCTATGCATCACTTTAGTTGCCCTTGAAGGAGCTGTGGTGGCACAGTGGATTAAACACTGGGCTGCTAACAGACAAGTTGGCAGTTTGAACCAACTGTCTGCTCTGTAGTAGGAAGATGAGGCAGTCTGCTTCTAGAAAGATCTACAACCTCAGAGAAAAGTCTATGGAGCATGTCTCCTGATGCTGTGAGAGGCAGCTATGGGAGGAGTTGGAATGAGGGCCCTAGAGACAGAAGTGCCGTGGCTACATCCTGGCTCCACCATCTATTCCCTCTGTGACCGTGGATGAGGATGACTTCATTGCACTCCGTCTCAGTTTCCCACATCTGTAAAATGGGACTAATGATACCACCTACCTCTGAAGGTCAGAACAGTCCTGGAAAATAGTAAATCCTCATGTGTATGGGCATTTTCAGGATTACGGATTCTGTTACTGTTGTGGATTGCTGTAGAGTCAATTCTGACTCATAGCCATCCTGTATAGGTTTCCAAGGAGTAGCTGGTGAGCTTGAACCACCGACCTAGCAGTTCAAATGGCTTTACAGCCTGGCGCATTAACCCACAGAGCCATCTGTACATAACAACTTTTTAAGGGACTTTCAAGGACAATTTTGCCTCTGCAGGATTTTCCATTCCCTGCCGTCGTGACTATAAACCAGGGTTGCTAATTCCTTTGTAAAATTCATGGAGCTTTCCTACAGAAAGCAGGAGGACCCTAAGGCTTCATCACTATATGTCCTCTCAAGGGCTCGAGAATTATGGTCTTCTTCCAACATAGTGTGAAAGAAGGCCACATGCCTGCCCAAGCCCCCTGACCTCCTGTTTGCTAAGCTAACCTTGAGGGAAGCGAGCAGGAAAGCATTTCTGCAGCGTGATCCATAAAGTGTGACCTAGCGCTATATTAAACCTACAGAAAATCAACCTCCAACAGTGAGAAAGTTTTCTATGATAAAGCAGTGATTACATTTTCTAATGATTGTTGAACATATTTTGCAATCTATAGGGAATATGTTGCTTAGTTCCTGGGAGCCCTTCCAACACCCCATTTGTCATTTCACACTTTCTATAGGACACAGACTAGGCGGTGATCGACCTTATCCTTTGAGGAGTTCACTGTATGCAACGCCCTTGCATGTAATCTGTGTTTAGCCTGTTACTGCTACTGCTGGTTCTTCCCAACAACAAAGATGAAACACTGCCTAGCTTACAAATTGAACTCCAACCTAAATTCCTTTTTAAAAATAGAACCATATTTTTCAGGCTTCACGAGAAGTGTTATCATTTTCTGTTTCTCTGTAAAGACTTTTTCCTGGTTAAACGTTTAGAGTAATAAATCCTATGCAGTATGGCGCTGTGGGTTGATGTGCTGAACAACAAAGTAGGTTTGAACTATAAGGTCTGTGGTTCAAGCTCACCAGCTGCTCCTTGGAAATCCTGTACAGGGTTGTTATGGGTAGGAACTGACTCAATGGTACTTAATAATAATAAATATAGTATGTCCATCATGTAATATGAGGAATTGCCTGCTCAGAGACCAATTCGGCTTTGTCCTGTTTATCTAGTGAACTTGACCAGGCCTTCCATGGTCAACATTCCTGGATTTAGGTGTGCGCCTCGGTCACCATCTTTAGCAGTTTTCTGGAGAAAGAGCAGTATCTCCTCCTTTAATGCACCATTGTTAATCACTAGGAGTCCAGGTGTGGTGTTGTAGGATAAGCACTGGACTGCTAACTGGAAGGTTGGCAGTTCAAACCCACTAACTGGGTCCCCGTGCTTTGGAATCCTGAGTCAGATGCTGCTGGCTCAGATTGTACTGGGAAGCCTTATAGGTGGTGGTGTGGTTCTGACTCAGACTGACCCCACATGACAGAGCAGTGTTGTTCTAAAGGGTTTTCTAGGCTGTTACCTGAACAAGGGCCGCTCACCAAGTCTTTCTTCCGTGGAGCAGCTGGGAGGGTACTAACTGCCAACAGACAACAGCAATGCAGCATTTTGTCCTCCTTTTGTAGGCGTGAGGAGTCTCTTCATGGGCAAACAGTTGACATGCTAGGCTGTAACTCAAAGGGGGCTGGGTTGCGCCTGTGTAGAGGTGCCTCAGAAGAAAAGGCTGGTGATCTATTTCTGAAAATCCATCACTGAGAAACCTATGGAGCACAGCTCTCCTCAGATATACATGGAGTCATGACTGGCCAGCAACTGGCAAACTGGTTTTTCCAGGGCTGACAGCGGTGGGCTGCCAAGTGACTTTGTTGTCTCAAGTGACTGCTGTTTATCATGGAGTTGGAAAGCTTCTATTCTCACTCAAAAAAGACTCACTGGATCGCAAAGATTCCTATTACAAGTGCCAGCTCACATGAATACGCTATTGTTGCTGTTAAGAGCTGTCAAGTGGGTTCTGACCCATAGCGACCCTGTAGAGGGTTTCCAAGGAGCAGCTAGCTGGTGAGCTTGAACCACGGACCTTACAGTTCAAACTGACTTTGCGGTCTGACCCATTAACCTGCAGCCCCACGTCAGGACTCTATAAGACATGAAATGTTAAGTTGAAAGAAATTGAAATCAATTAAATATGCACCCGTGTATGTTTGCACATATTCACATGCATGTGTGTCTATGTGTAAAATCTGCCCCAAGGTCAAACTCAGTGCTGTGTGTGTTTCCCTCAAAAGAGCACCGATTTGGAGCCGGACCATTGTCTCCAGTGACCTACAGCTCTCAGGGGCAGCCTTGAATGGATACGAGCAGGGCAGTCTGCCCTCCAAGCAATGCCCGCTGCCTCCCAAAGGCCATGTCTGTTTCCTGGCACTTGAATCAATGTTTGGATTCTGCTACATACGGTCAGCCGTTTCCACTCTGCCTGGGTTTCCTAGGGAACGTGCCTTTCCGTTGTTTTCACACTGACCTCATTACCCACCCAGTGATGAGCTGGAAGAGGCTATGGCTACTCTGGGCTCCTGGAGTGCCTCTGCCCGAGGGGAGTGTGCTCAGCCCTTCTCCCTCAGCTCCAGAAAGCCCCATTCTCACCTCACCTAACAAAGCCCCATTCCAGTGCCTGTCCCTGAAAAAAGATTCCAAGACTTGATGGTGTGGGCCTGGACTATTGCTGTCACTCCAGGAAGGGCAGGGAGTGAAGAGGGGAAGGGAATAGACTTTATGGGTCCACACCCTCAGCTCTTCATAAGCACAGGGGTCCAGTTAAGACCACTAGCACTTTTTCAGAGTCAATAGTTTCTGATCAGTTCTGGAAGCTCGTTTTGAGCCATAGGAAAGTAATCTTGAATCCACTAGTGCCCCTATACCTCCTGCCTATAGGAAGGTTCTCCTGTGTACTTTCAAAGGAAATGCAGTATTGCTCTAGTCCTCAGAAGTAGGTTCCATCAAGGCTAAAATACTCAATGAACTCCAAGTTTTGTTTTCCCAAGCAATTGGGTAACTTGTGTGTATGAGTCTTAGCCACAGGATTTTTTATTGTATCCTTCACAGCCAAGTAGAGTGAGAAGGGAACTGGGCTTTGGGGCTGATCATCATCTGCATCTCCATTATTTGTGTTGTCCTTGGATAGTTTATTGACATTTCAGAGCCTGCCAAATGAAGATCCTTTTCTCTATCCTTATTATTATGAGGCAGTGGTGAGAATGCGGTAGAATTCTCGCCTTCCATACAGAAGACTCAGGTTTCATTCCTGGTCAATGCACTTCACATGCAGCTGCCACTTGTCTGTTACTGGAGCCGTGTGTGTTGCTGTGATGCTGAATAGATTTCAAAGGAACCTTCAGAATAATGGAGAGCAGGAAGAAAGTCCTGGAAATCTACTTCAGCCAGTGAAAACTATGGTTCACTACAATGGTCTGATCTGCAACCAGTCAAGGGGTGGTACCTGAGTGGGCATGGGGTTACCATGAACTGGGCCTACAGGAGTGGGCAGCCCCAAACAATAGCCTTATTATCTCTATTTACTTTT